GTATCCTGTGTACTTAGCCCTCAAAGAAACTCTGTTTAAAATAACTGTTGCAAAGTGGAAAAGAGCCCGAGCAAAAAGGCCCTCTGACCAGCTAAGTTTAGAAGCCACGCTGAGCTGGGACACGGACTTTGCCAGACTGCTGTAATTGGAATTCCAAGCCTAGTGCCTTCAGAATGGAAATTCCAACCCATCTCATATTCAAAAAGAAACATTCCCCCTCTCTCTAAATTTATAGGCCCATTTATTTCCTGGATACCCTCTCAAAATGCTCCACCAGATCCTTGTGAAGTCCGCAGGAGCTCTACAAACTGTCTCCCATGCATAACAAACAGGCTCCCTTCAACTCTGCCTTTGCCTCCTGCCTGCTGCATTCCATTGCTTCCAACAAAGAGTGGAGTTCTCAGACATTAATTGATCCCCAATCAGCCTTTGATCCCAAAGGCATGAGTCATCATTGACTGAGACACAGATCTCCTTGTAGATGTTTCATTACTATTGATTCTTCAAAGCCTGCATCAAAATCCTAGCAACAAAATCAGAGAAGAGTAATTGGCAAGATCAAAGAGCCAACTGAAGAGGGGCAGAAAAACGAGTAGGCCCTAGCCCTCTTATTTTCATTTACATCTCAATGTGATGGCAGAGGTTGAAATGTCTGGAAGTGTGTCAACAGCCAGAATTACCAGAGCATGGGCCTCTCCCATAACCATTATCACAAGAAAGGAAATGTTGACTAGATCTACCCAGTCGACACTGGCAAACACCACACTTGGCAAGCACGCCCTCGATTTCAAAATGGACACAAATGAACCCCCACAAATGTAAGAAATGCATCAGTTTAGCTATTTGGATTTACTGTTTCCTAGTAAATAATTCAAGGGTGGTTTTAGAAATGGGTAATTGATCCTGATAATGTAGGTTAACTGTCCCTTCTTTGAAATACTGAGGCCAAAAGTGTTTTCAAATTTCAAATACTGTCAGATTCTTTAGGACTTGCATATATATAAGGGGGTGCACCTTGGATACGGGGCTCAAGTGTAAACGTGAAATTCATTGGTGTTTTATGCACACCTTATATTCACAGACTTAACTTTGACTTGTGCAAAGTTTCAGTGTCTCTGTGTTTTGACTATAACCCATTGTAGGAATTCAGGTGCAGTGAGGACGAAAATGCAGCCAACACTGCAGCATATACTCCAAATGAGGAATCTGTAGGGCATGGAAATTACACCTCCATAAACTGTTAAGATATCTGTGGCTTATAAGACACAAAAATACACATTAGCACCACGAGGTGACAATAGCAATACCCAAGAGTTTTAGTTGGTGGCGCATGCCCATGAAATCATGAAACTGCACTGGGCATCCTGAGGTCTGAGGACCCTGAGCTCAAGGACAGCCTAACCTACATAGTACGAACGGGCCACACACAGAAAAGCGAGGTACCACACAGTAGTCGCAGATGCACACACTCATAATGTGTCCAAACAGAGGTGGCATTGATGACATCGACAACATCTGTCTCATCTTTTCTCACTGGGATTACTGAACCCAGTTCAAGATACATTTTGAGTGTGCATAGCAAATTCAAGAATTATCTGTGTTTGCTAGAAGGAATCTTAAGCAGACAGCTGCTGACTCTGCACAACAATCTCCACATTCCAGGCTGATCCTGCATCTCTATTGTCACTACATTAATACCAATTTTATGAGCAACTGCTTCCCTATATGAGAACAACCACTGTCGAGAAACTGCCGTCATGCCGGCTCATAAACCTGTAAGAGTCCGAACACGAGCCTATACAGTGAAGCTGACGAGACTCACAACTCTGCATCCCCATGGAAATCACCCTTTAGATGGGAAGTATTTATGGCCCTCTGAGAATCTAAATTTAACGAGCATCGAAATTTCAAAACAATCGATTATTATCTAGCAGTCTTGATAGGAGGCCTCACAAAACATTACCTGTAAAGCTTTCTATTTCAAGATCAAACCAAATGTCTTCATCCTTATGATTTTTATTTCACACAGTTCCCCCATAAACTCACAGATTACAGGAAGAAATAACTACCAAAGAGCTGTAATCAAACCTACTTACAGCTTAGAGTTCACAGGGCCACTGCAACATACATCACCTCCTAACCCTCAACCACCAGCCTGCTGCTCCATTCTGTGTCTCCTAAGGCAACGCGCACAGCCAATTAGGTATGAGTGTGCCTACTTTCAGAGGAGGAATTGTAAACTCATCCCTACTGGCATGGGAAGCTGACTCCACAGGAACACACGCATGCCACCACAACACCACCACACATATATTGACCATCACAGAAGCTTAAGCATTGAATCTTTATGTCTGTGATAAACACACACCCTGGAACCCAGTGGAAAGCCAGAGGCCCTGTGTAGAAGGAAAAACCCAGCATGCAGGCTTAGGATGCTCTGGGTAACCCTGGCTGCAGGTGCTCTCACCTGTACCCACTGAAGCATGACATCTGCGAGAGGGCAGCTAGCTCCAAGAAGCAGGAAGGCAGGACACAGCAGAGCACTGGGCACTGAGCACATGTGCAGAACTTTTGGGCTATCTTCTGCCCCCCTCTTACAGGTGACTCAAGCCATGACCGTGGACATGAGCAGATTCTGGGGCACTTTGCAAAGCTGGAGGCTATGGCACAAAGACTTGCCCAACTTCCAGTTCAGATAATTATATTCTGTTTCCTGAATCTGCCCAGATGTTTCAGCTAGTTACAGCCTGGTTCTTTCTTTCTTTTTTTTTATAACCTTTTCCGGGAAAAAGTGGGAAGATTCTCTGTAAACTCCCCTCCTCCTTCCGCCATCTCACTGATACAGAAGAAAAGGCAAATTTCACATGTTACCAAAGTAATGGCAGCTTTGGTCATGAACAAGATGGTGTGTGTGTGTGTGTGTGTGTGTGTGTGTGAACCTGCAGAGGACCAGAAAAAAAAAATAAAAAACAACAACTCAGAGTAAAGCCCCCATGGATGAAATGGGGCAACTGTGTCATGATACCTTTATGGGATAATGACCACACAGGTGCCCTCAATAGCCTGTCTAATGATCTATTCTAATTCAGGCAACTGAAGAAATGCTGAACTCTCCCTGCAACGGGGTGAGTTTTACTACTGTGTATCTAACTATTCCCTCATGGTTTGGACAGGGGCCATCATCAGAGACCCAGGAAATGTAGCAACTTGCCATTTCTTTGCATGCCAGGCATTCTAAAACTAAAGCAGGCTGCCATCATCACTCAGATGGCCAAAAAAGTAAACTCTGAAAGTTTCAATCTTGGGAAAGGATACAGGGGAAATAAAATGTCCACGAACCATTGGTGGGATGCAAACTGGTGTAGACACTTCTCACAGCAATTTGGAAGTGACTGGTACATCTAACACCATGTCTCCCCACATTCCAGCAACTTGGCTTCTCAGATATACACATATATTTCCTCATGGAGACACGCACATGCTGTACCACAACAATAATTTTAACAGACAAAAACAGAGGAGGAGGCACCAAATGTTCAAAAATAAGTATAGGCTGTGATATAGTCCTATGGCCGAATGCCATGGATTGAACTTAAAAATGAAAGTGGAAGTGGGGGTACCCAAGAAAGACTACAACTAGCACTCCATATCCACAGACTCTACGTGTGCAGACTCAGCCAACCATGAACAGAAACAGTCAGGAACAACCAAGTCTTGACTGAGTACACACCATGTCCCCTCACCCCATTTACTATTACAAAGCCTTTAAATTGTACTCATCATTGTAAGTAGTCAAGAGACAACTCAAAGGCTCAAGGAGGATGCAAAGAGCAGGTCCCTCTCCCTTTAGGGCATCCACAGACTCTGGGTTCTGTGCACCAACTGCCAGTGGACATCATGGAACAGAAACACAGAAAAATATATACAGATGAATACCATTTATTAAAAGGTACAGAAGGCAAACTAGTAGTGTTGCTAAAACTAACCTTATAAATACATATCGCTTATGAGAAGCAAAGTTCCCACATGTATACACACACATACACACATGCATACACACATCACTCCCATACCGACATGCATATACACGCATGCATACAAGACATGCCTGCTCACATACTCCCACACATATACACATACTCACATGCAAGCACACACACACACACACACACACACACACACACACACACACACAGGTTATTTGTTGTGTTTCCCTGCTCAGCATAGTAGATTTCTTAGTTAAAAAAAAAAAAAAATCCAGGCCTGGATCCCATGACAGTGGGAATGCTACCCCTTCCTTCCCAAATTGCATCACATAACTGAAGGCAGTGGGCATTTGACCCATCCTGATGATCCTGTCCAGGTTTTGTGCCTAAGACCAAGGACACAAAGGTTCAGGGATGGTGGAGAAGTTCCAGATCCTGGACAGGCAGCCGCCTCGCAAGGAAGGGCCAGCAGGCAGACATGTAGCCAGCTCCTCAAGTGCTCTGCCTCCTTGACCTCAGTTTATCCCCTCCCCAGTCTCATGTTAGCTTTCTATAAAGGCCCTTTCTTCCCAATGCATGTTCTCAAAGTACTAATTTGTGAAGAGAAGGACAGGAAAATCTGGTGCTGACAGATGGTTAAGGAAGGGACTTCCTAAGTCTACTGGGTCCATACTGTTTGGAACTGTGTGACAAACACTTGGGAACAGGGATAGAAACATACTCAATTTGGGAATGGAATGTGCCAACCTGCCACATTTAATTTGGTGATAATATTGAAAATAGAAATCCAAATGTCCCTCACACCTGCTTTGCATTTTCAAAGATATCAAAGTGTCTGCATCGGCATACCAGCTGCTTGCTTTGGGGTGTCGAGCTCTGGAACCCACATCTAGAGCCTGTCATGAAACCCTGTTGTCAGGACGACTTCTCTCCTGGTTTCCTCCCATCTTTCAGTCTGTGGTGTATGTGTGCCCCAGTGATGAGCCCCAACATTTAAAAGGAAAGTGTACTTACTGCATGGATGTCCTAACACCTTGACTTCATCAATAGCAAGGTAGCCTTGGTGTCCAGAGGTTACCACCTCAAAAATCACCTGGAAAATGAAAAGAGATTAATGTCATTGACTCTTTTTTGTAAAATTTTTAGCAAGTGTCTCTTATATTAAGAGGAATAAAAGGTTCACTCATCCCTCCATTTGTTTTTCCCAACAACTGTAAAGGAGTTGGTGACTAACACCTGTCTTTCCGTGTTATGGGCTCTAAACCTCAAGAAGAAGTAAGACTGAGCCCTGTCTAGTCCAAGGAGGCTAAAGACAGGCTGCGGACACATACGGAGAAGAAAGGGTCTTAGATTCACTTTTAAGGATGGAGTAAAGTACCAAGGTCTTAAAACTCAGAAAACTGAAATGATGCTAAGGAAGCCATCCAACAAGATAATAAGGTTGTCCCATCCTTGATACCCATCCCCCATAGATTGTGATATCTTTATCGAGGGGCTAGGTTAAGATTTAAGTTTCTTTAGAAAACATTTCTGAAGGTGACTGTCTAGAAGGAGACATTTGGGATCCTAGGATTTTACATTTAAGAGGAGGAGGGGGGATGAGAGGGAAGACTGAAGAAGAGGTGGGGTGAGGGGGAGGACCGCGGAGAGGCAAGATGGGGGAGGAGTGAGAGGAGAAATGAAGGGGGAGAGCTTGTTGTTGGAGGATTTATGAAAAATGTAGGGAACCATGGGGAAAATGTACTTGAAGGAAAAGAATGGTGGAAAGAAAGAGAAAGGAAAGCAGAGGGGAGGGAGGAGGGAAGGGGGAAATAAGGAATTTAGTTACCCTTAAGAAAAGTACAGGGTGCTTACGATGGCTAATTGTGATGCCAGTTTGACTGGATCGATGACTAAAGCACACCTTTATGCTTGCGAGGGCTTTGTGGGGGTGTTTCTTGAGAGGGAATAGTAACTGGGACATTGATGCTAAATGTGGGTGGCACCATCTCACAGGCTGGGGGTCCAGATGGAAAAGGGGGGTTACAGGAAGCCTGGAAGGAAGGCACCCCCTTCTCAGCTTCTTTTCCACCACAGTGGCAACTGCTTTGTTCTACTTATCCTTACCGAAGTAAGTCAGGAACCATGGTTGCCTTTCTTCAGTTTTTGCTATCTACGTTACCACGTTTAACTGTGCAGATAATAGTGCCTAGCACCGCTAGACAGGCATATGCCTGGGCTGCAGCCCATGAGGAGTCAGTGTTAAGCAGCGGGAAGAGGTGAGCTAACACTATAAGGAGGGTGATACATGTGCAAAGGTAGACATGATCACGACTGGGTCCTATGGGCACAAAAGTCAGTCACATGCAAAGGTAGACATGATTATGACTGGGTCCTACAGGCACAATGGTCATGATCATGACTGGGTCCTACAGGCACTAAAAGTAGTCATGGCCTGGTTACAGAAGATTGCTTGGAGGACAGGAAAACCACTCCCATTCACATGGAGAAGGGATCATCTGAAACTTAGAGGAAGATGCCGGGATTCAAAGGGGAATGATAAACTGTCTTCCACGGAGGTAGAAAAAGTTTTAAGTCACTGCCCCGTCCTGCAAGAAGCAGAGAATGAAGAAACTGATGATGTGAGCCTCTGGGAGTGAACAGCACATTTGAAAGAGATTCATCCTTAGAGAAAACAAGACCCAAAGGGGCAGAAGAAGTTAAAAGGCTACCAGTTTGCTTATGCTAAGCAATTATCTGAAGGCATCAACACAACCCAGTTCTCTTTTTAGTCTAGAGAAATGAAGACTTCCATCACACAAAAGCCTGCGCACAGCTCTACTCACAAAAACCAGCATGCAGACACCTGAGAAGTGCTTTAATTAATGAATGATTACACAGACTGGCCCAGCACACCACAGACTGCTACTCAGGAATGAAAAAGGGCTAAATACAGTCACAATCAATAGCATGAGTGATTCTTCAGGGAACTGTGCTGGATTGAAAAAAAAGCCAGTACTAAAAGATTACACCCATCTGATTCCACGCAATGTCAGATTTTAGGAACAGAAGCCAGATGCCAAGAGTAAGGGACATGGGAGAAGTGGCAGGAAGGAGGTGGGTGGCCTTTGAAAAGGGCAACCTAAGCCTCTGTCAGTTTCTACCAACATGGTAACTGAATTGTATAGAATTAAGTGTGTGTGTGTGTGTGTGTATGTGAGAGAGAGAGAGAGAGAGAGAGAGAGAGAGAGAGAGAGAGAGAGAGAGACTGTGTGGATTTGTGTAAGTGTGTGTATGAGTGTATATATGAGTGTTTATGTGTGTGTATGATGTGCATACATGCAGGGAAATGCAAGTATTAGAAAGCTTGCAGAAGTCATAATAAGCACTGAACATTCCAATATGCCAATATCCAGTCTTGATATCAGACCATAACTGGCAAATTATTCCCACTTGGGGAAACTGGGTGCCTTGTCAACGGAGTATCTCCATTAGTTTTTACTGTTGTGTGCCACTCTGATCATATAGCATTTTAGTTTGAAAAGCAACTATGCAACTATTTACTAAGAACACATTGCATGCTCTATGCAGGTAACACCCCACAAACATATCAGTTTATGTAAAGCATAGTCCATAATATATTATATGAATATTTTAATTAAAATGTTACTAAAAGGGAAAATTTTCAGGAATTTTATATTTCAGCAGGATGAGTAGCCTGGATATTTGTCTGAAGCAATGCAGTGAGTCTCAGGAATCTCCAACTCCATCTGTTTCCAAATGTTATTATGCTCTCATTCTCGCACACTGAGCAAAACCTTGGCTCCTAAGACTGCTTTGTTTGTATTTATGCAAAACCAGAGACAGCAACCCACAGAACCCCAGATGGAAATGCTAAAAGCAAGGGTCCAGACTGCAAAAACGAAATTCCAGGAACCTAGGCTCACAGCTCTGCACCAGAAACCCTGATAATAAAACATAACACATATGGGGGAGAGAGGGGCCCCTCAGAAGAACAGAGATGAAATAAAACTCTGTCCTGCTCATAAGTTTAATGTGTTGTGTTCTGCTGATGATCCAACAGAAAGGAAAAGCTGCCTGGATACTCCTGCAGTGGGACCAGGGAAATTTATTTCTTTACATCTAAGTTCTGTAAGAGCACGAATGAGGGACAACAAATGGATTTCAAAAGCAGGCAAAAGAAAATCATTTGAGGTCCCCAAAGCAGGTCTGGCTAACAGTCAGCAGCTGCAGCCCCAGAGGTGACACAGCAGACTCTGCAAAGACCTGCCAGGTGGCTCCGTGAAGTGACAGCCATGCACTCCATGCAGGGAAGCAGGTAGGCTGGCTGCACATTTTCCTCTCTCTTTCCTGTCCTCCAAAAGCAGCTCCCGGGTCTTAGCCTCAGCTCTGCAGCAAACCACCTGCTTCAGTTTCCCTCCTCCTCGTTCCCGTCTTCAGCAGATCACACAGAATTTCCCTTACAAACTTACTGCTTTCTCCTGGTCCCTAACTGCATCAGGCACTCCCTGGGAAGCCACACCACTCCAGCCAGGAAAGCTAAGCACAGATCTTCATCTCTTTCTCCATTTCTCTAAGTCCATCCTCCAGTCTTATCCTCAGCTCTGCAGCAGAACACATGCCAAGGTCTCTCCTCAGCCTCAGCCTCTGCCTCCGTTCCCAGGTGGCTGAGCAGACCATGGTGGAACACTTCTCTTTCCTCTGTCCTGTGACCCCCGTCAGCACCCCCACCTAGCACACCCTCATTTCTGTCAGCTCCCAATACCTAGAACCACATTTTTATCTGAACCCTCAGTGGCCACACCTACAGGGATCCCAGAAGAATTTCCTACCAAGAAACACACAACCACCACACTCTCTTAAGAACCAGAAAGGGCAATAGAAACCAAGGAACAAAACACCCACCCCAACAAACACAAGACCAGACATCTATAGCTAGCATTACAATCTTCCCAAACCCAGTTGTGTAGACACCAGTGTAAAAATAAAGTAACAGCCAGGACAATATGTCTCTAATAGAGCCCAGCAACCCTACCACAACCTTGACCTACATCATAGAGTTTGAAGTTAAATATTATGAAAGTTTTAAAGATTCATGATATACAATTCCAGGTTGCTTTTTGTAAAGACTATATTTGTTTACATGATCACAGGAAATATATGAGAGAATGTCTCATGCAGCCGTCAACACATAATGTCTTAAATTTGATATAGTGTTATTATCTGAACATAACTGCACACCGTAGAGAAAGGAAAAAGAAACCCAGGTCAAAGGCACAAAAAATATCATCAACAGAATCACAGGAGAAAAATATCCCTAACCTAAAGGAGATGCTTATCAAGGCATAAGAAGCAAATAGATAATAGATTAGACCAGAAAAAGGAAGTCCCCTTGGCACATAATAATCAAAACACTCAACACACAGATAAACACTTTCAACAAAGTAGCTAGATACAAAATTAACTTACAAAAATCTGTAGCCCTCCAAATATAAATCACAAATGGAATGAGAAAGAAATATGGGAACAAACACCTTTCACAACAGCCTCAAACAATATAAAATACCTTGGGGTAACTATAATCGAGCAAGTGAAAGACTTGTATGATAAAAAGTTTAAGACATTGAAGAAACTGAAGAGGACACAGAATGGAAAGAGCTCCCATGTTCATGGGTCAGTATGATTAATACAGTAAAAACAGCTGTCCCATCAAAAGCAATCCAGACTCAGTGCAATCCCTACCAAAATCCCAGCACAATTCTTCACAGGCCTTGAAAAGGCAATTTTCAGCTTCATATGGAAACACAAAAAACCCAGAATAGTTAAAATATTCCTGAATCATAAAAGAGTTGCTGTGAATTCACTATCCCTGATTTCAATTTGTACTACAGAGATATAGCAATAATAATAACAAAAAAAGAGTACGGTATTGACCCTAAAGTGGACACATTGATCAATGGACTCAAAATGAAGGCACAGATATAAACCCATACACCCATGAACATCCGATTTTTGATAAAGAAGCCAGAAATATACAATGGTAAAAAGACAGCATCTTCAACAAATGATGCTGATCAAACTGGATCTCTGCAT